AAATGGGACTTGCATTGTGTTACGTTGAAGTTTCACAAACCTACAACAATATTAACCGATCTGATAATAAACAATAAAATATTAAATTCTTTCATAATAATTCTTGGAGATATATTTTATATTTTAAGAAAATCTCCATTAAAAGAAAATATATATATTAAATGTCTAGAAATGATTTAATTTTTTTTTTGAAGTCTAAAAAAGGAATAGTTAATTTATAAATACGTGATATATAACGTAATTATTAATTGTCAATTACGCCAAACGTATTTTATACAAACGGTCAGTCAAAAAGTACAAAGAGCTTCTTATAACCTTAAATTATTAAATTATTTCAAGTAAAGAATAATTTTTATAAATTTATAATTAATGGGTTTATGCTATAAAAATATTACGCTGTGCAAAAAAAAAAAAATATTCAAATTTTATTATACTTTATGTATGGTGAACAAATATATTTTTAATTACGATATACTATTTTTAAACTATCATTATTATCTCTCAACATGGTTCTAATGATATCGAATTTTCATACTTTTTTTTTAAGCGCTGACTCTTCTTTAAGACCATTTGACTGAGAACACTCCCATTTGGATGTACTGTAGAAATAAATTGTACATATATTTATGCGATCAGATGCTATGTGTTTGAAATTAATGAGAGTGCTTAATTTGAGTATAATAGTTGTTATGACAGCAAATATAAAATTCTTAAAATTTTTTAGGAACAAACGAAAAAAGTTATTGATCAACTATATCATGATTTACCATGCAGTTCATGCAGCTATTAAAATCACTTATTCTAAAAAAGTAATACAAGAAATTGCGAATTAACGAAACAAATATTATCAAAAAATTATTAGTAAAAACCAAGGAGTGCAAGACCTAAGATAATCTAAACAAGATAAAAAAAACATTAGTATGATTTGCACCATACTCCATAAAAAAAAGCTTCCAGAAAAGTGTTAATATCATGCTACCAGTGGTTCACCCTAGAACTAGTACAATACACTGTATAATCCTATAGCAAACCACTGATATCATAACACCAACCATAAGAGCCAGGTACATAGGCTAACCCTCTTAAGGGAAAGCCAGTTTCTCTTATATCTTACTCCTCAGCTTTTTTTATCCGTAAACCAGTATCATTAAAACTATGCAAGCAGGGAGCGCAAGCTTACCTTAATAAATAAATATGATTTTATTTATTTTCAACTTTGGTAACACTAAACTTCCAAAGTTTCAGACTGTACTGTCAGGAAGTCTCACTTAAAAATAATTTCTTAAGTATAATGTGTATTTTTAAAGAAGGAAAGAAGTGTGTAATTTTTAAAGAAAGGGAAGTGTATATTTTTAAAAAAAAGAAAGGGCGTATTTTTTATATTTTTTAAAGAAAGGAAGAAAGGTGTATTTTTTTAAAAAAAAGAAGTGAGGGTATATATATACTTTTAAAAAACCCTTTCGGATACATAATGACTAATAATCTTGTTATACTTATTTAGGGAGTTCGGTTACAGTAATATTACATCATTTTTTCCCATAAGCTTATGTGGCGTTGGCGTTATAATTACATAATTATTTACAAAACGCGTCAATGATTAATCAATAGTTATTGTAGTTATTGAAAATATCACGCGTTTTTAGATAATCTAGATAATCTGTTAAAAGTCAGACTAGTATTATCTGATAGCTTAAGATCAACCGGCATCAGTAGCATCAGCAATTTTTTTTTATGGAAAGATCACGTCATTTTGACTTTTTTTTTTAGACCTAATAAAAAACAATAGATACCATAATACTTTATTATATAACAATATACGTATGTTTAATAATGAGTCATATTTATAAAAAAACAAGTGCTGTGTATTGAGATCAAAAGAAATAGTTAAATCATTCTATATTATTAAAAAATGCAGTTTATAATATGTTCTCACATAATTTTATCCATAATAAAAAAAATTTTTGTATGTCATATGAATAAAACTAACAAACTTACTTTAAAATAATTATAAAGACTTCAGGTGATATATCATTATCTTTATTCCTTTTATTAGAAGTCAAAGTTCTTCGTAAATACGGAGAAAGGCAACATAGAATACTCATGTGAGCACGGAAGATTTTTACATTAGGATCTTCACCAACTTCAATCGTAATATCATAATATTCATCGTCTCAATGTAATTTTGACTTAATTTCGAAAAAAGTTGATTAGACATATTTTTCGTCATTATAATTAAATGTTGTGCAATAGGACTTCAAAATATATATGAAAGTCTTTTTCCTTTTTGATCATTACATGATGTCGCCGATCTTCTCTGACCTATAAGTTTATTTTTGATTGACGTCCATTTCTTTTGACAAGACATGTACTTAGCTCAGATTCTACAGTTATCATGAATTATTCTCTAATACCTTTAAACTTTCTGATATTAATTGAACTCCTTAAAACTTAAATTTACAATTCTTTCATAAATAAACAAAATCAGTTGATTAATGACATTCAAAAATTTCTTAGCGAAATTTATTTTTTTAAAAAAAACATTCTTATTTTATATATTTATAAATATGATTGTTTTGTTTGTATTGATTAATTTATTATATTTTTTATAGTCCCTGTTTAATGTTGTGAACAAAACCCGAGAATTTTGTCAGAGAATGAATCTGAAACTTGGCAAAGTTAATTTCATTTAACTATAGAAAAAAATAAATTTAATACCGTTCGATCTTGTTCGAACTTCGGTCAAATTTATTATTACGTGACTTTAGTATTACAAACTCATTACATTAAAATTTATATGAAACGATAATGATAATAATTATTATTGTTTACTTTTGTATACACAATTTAAAGTTACTTAATGCTTCCTATAAGATTATTTCATTATACTTCTATCAAAAATCTTCGATGTTTTGTTAAAATGATTACCCACATGGTTGCTTGACGTATGGACTGGATACGATTACCGAATCTTTTCTATAGATTATTAAATCAGTTTCTAATTTTAATAAAAATAGACACGTTGAAAATTGCCTTGGAATAGATCGGATTTTATGTAAAAAAATTTGAAAACAAGAAATAACATCAACTTCAACAAAGAACATATAAATTATTTAAATAAATCTGTTCCTTCTCCATGAAGAATGGTGCTAAAATTTTAGATGTACTATATGGAACTGGAACATTTCTCTTAGAATTATCAATTGAATATTCACTTTTGGGATTTACCGTCATTGATAAGAAAAAATTATTTCTCTTATTTCTCGCGTTATTTAAACCTAATAATTTAAATTTTAACTATGCTGATATATTGTAAGGAAGAAAATCATTTTGATTTGACTTATTTAAATATCGAACCACGTTATACTTTAGATCAATAGACTTTTGTTATTGGTGAATTAATAAAAGTAACAAAACCAGATAGATACGTAGAAATGCAGCAGATTGCGTTTGAAGTACCTCTACTGCAGATTTGCTGTTACGTAAATCCTACGAAATATTACTCTTATTAAAATTATTAATTTTTTACTTTATTATAAAGAACAGCTGGTTCAAAATTTTTGAATTCGTGAAAGATGTAAGCTATAATTAATTACAAATTTGTAAAATTAAAATTTATGCACTGTATATAAATAATTTAATCTTTTCTCCATTCATAAAAAGTCGCCATGTTAAGTGTAGAAATGAGTTCGCACCATTACTTTTATCTACGAATCTTTGTTATTTCAATTTGATCATAATATGAATGTAATTGGATGAGATGATAAATGATTTAAATAATATTAGTATGGATGAATTGAAACAAGATTGAAAGGAAGTTATAAAAAGAATTTATTTGAAACAAGAACTAGTTTAGAAATTAATAGAATGTGATTCATGAAATTGTAAAACCGGTAACGAGTTAATTCAAATACAAATTAGTTCGGAAAAATGTTTAATAATTGTTTAATTACTTTGTATTATTTATTATAAGAAGTAATAATAAATTGGTAAATATAATTACAGTTTTCATAAAATAATCAATTAAATAATAATAAGATTCATGAAGGTCATTATTTACAATCAAAGAAATTTTCTTTGATAATGTTTGTTACAATTTACCACAGAAATTTCGTGTAATTCCTTGGTAAAATTTTGTGGTAAAATAATTTTCCGAAAAATTAAAATTTTCGTATTAAATAATGATGTCATTTATTTCTAGAAAATAATTAATTAAGTTATACGTTACATTTGACTTGGCATATGACATATTTAGCAATTTTCGTGAAACAGAAATAACGAAATATCGGATAAATATCGACAATGGTAAAAATTTACGCATTTTAAGATTACTTAAACGTTAATACAATCACCTAAAAAGAATTACGCAAAGATAAAGGTACGTTAACGTTTGTTTCGTTTGTTTCTTGGCAAAGACCTTATTTCTTATAAATAAATCTGCTAGAAAAATGTTTCTCGATTTTTTCAATTTAAACATCATAACAACTTATCTTTTTTGAATTTTTATACAAATCATAATTTCATTAAAAATGCAACAAGAAAAAATTCCAACGATTATTTCCGGTGCAGGTCTAGGAGGACTTTCTCTCTATCATGCCTTGATAAAGAACAAGGACAAAAAAGAATTCAACGTAAAAATCTTTGAACGTGAAACTAGTCCTACAGCAGGTATAAAAATTTCTAATTTTCTAGTTAAATATTATGTTAAAATTTTAAAAATTAACTCACTCATACTGTCACGTATTAGATCGATGGCAAGGATATCATATAGGCTTGTCCTATTATGGAGCTCGATCTCTTTTAAACTGTGTTTCATCCTCAATCGCTTCAAACCTTCCAAAAGCAATACCAAATCCAATTCCTGATGTAGAAACTCATGGAATAACTATCACTGATCAAATAGGAAATGTTTTACTTACCCTCCAACTAAATCATTTAAAGATGTTTATAAAATCGCAAAAATATCTCGTGGTCTATCATCAATTATCATTTATCGTAATAGACTTAGATATGTTTTATTAGAAGGTGTACCAGTTCAATGGAATAAAAAATGTATTAAATATGTAGAGACCCAAGAAGGAGTTTGGGTATTTTTTGAAGATTGTTTACAAGAATTGTAATATTTTAGTTGGCGCAGATGGAATTAATTCTCCAAGTAAGTAGTTATAAATAATATCTATTATTTAAATTATTCTTAAATAACAAACATTTTTTTTTCTATTACCCTATGAAAAAAAATTTCTTTAAAATATACTTAAAATGTACTTATATATTTTAAAATATTAAGTATATTTTAGGTATATTTTAAAATATATAAATATATTTTAAGTATATTTTAAAGAAATTTTTTTTTATAGGGTTAGTACGAAAAATTACCCGAATTACAAATTGTTGATTATGGAATAACACATATTAGTGCGAATGTTTCTGTACCCCAACATCTTATGGACAAGGCAAATAAAATCCATGAAAACTTTTTGGTCCGTAAAACTCTTGGAACAAAAGAAGATTCAACGCTTATGATGACACGCTTAATACCAATCAAACAAGAACAAAATGATGAGAAAAGTGAACCTCATTATAGAGTAACATTAGTTTATTCTTATCCCTTCGAATTGGATAACGTTGATGTTGAATCCGATAAAGTTAAAGTTGATGATAATGATCCTGCATCAGTTATCGAACATGTTAAACGGTTAATTCGAACATTAAGACCAGATTGTGAATTGACTGATTTATTAATAGAATTTTGGGACTTGATACCTAAAACAATTCCAAATGATCCAATAAAGTTTCCATTTAAAACTTATAATCCTGTACAATGAAGAATGATGCGAGATATTGATCATGTCTATCAAATCATGGACAAGTAGTCAAGTTGTATTATTAGGTGATGCTGCTCATGCTATGAGTCCTATATTAGGATTAGGAGCAAATAATGCTATTCAAGATGTTGATAAACTTTCTCAAGCATTACTTAAATGTACGGACTGTAATATTTCTTTTATTGAAGAATATGAAAAAGAAATGTTAAAGCGAACATCTGCTGACATATTAAAATCTAGAACTGCCACATTTAAGACTTCTATTCCACTTGGACCTTTTGGCATTATAATTAGAGACAGCATTTTGAAGGTTATAAACGCTATGATAAACTTTTATAGTTTTGCGGATAACATAATTTTTAAGGACTAAAAAACTATTAATATTTAATTTATCATTTTTAAAATCTTAGAATCATACTATGCATATACGTATGTAAATACACATACATATAATAATCAATATATAGAATATATATTATAAACCGAGGTGGAAATTATTTTTCTATTTGAACTACTTTTTTTTTTATTTATTTATATTTCACGTGCCTCCTGTATATTGATTCTTACAAATATAACTTTTTTTTTAAATATAAAGTAACAATCGCTTATTAAAATATTTTTGAAATTTTTTCTTTTTTATCTAAATAAAAAACTTTGAATTTACTTCCAAATTTGGATATCGTAATATATTCGGAATTATTGGATATATTTAGGAGATCGAGGTATTTTCATTGTATTAATGAAAAAAAAAATAATAAGATTTATTTTATAATTAGTTTAATACAGTTTAAATACTATTTTATTATAAATATTAATTATTTTTAATTTTGTTTAATTATAGGCGAATGAATATTTACATTTATATAAAATCAACGTTTATTACCCGTGATAGAATATTATAATGAAGTATACTTTAACAGAGATTAATGATAATAAGTTTAAAGGAATGAATTAATCAAAACAAATTGTACTTCAATTTATATTATCATATAAATAGTAAATAAATAGTTCACTTTTCGAAGTAGCACTCAATCGGTATTTAAAAATTTGTGTTCTTGATTATATTAAACTATTTTTAATTTTCTTGATTAATACTTATCAGTTACCGTTAGTCAAAAATAAATGCGGACTATTTCTTAATATATAAGAATTAAAGACTTTTTTATTAAGTAAAAAAATATATTTATTTTAACTAAATTTATTCAAATAAAAAATATATGCATATTTATTTTGATTATATTACAGCACTAACTTTGATCCAAACATAAAAGGTTAAAGAACAAAAAAAAAAAAAAAAA